TATTGAAATTTTTCCACTTTTAAGAAATGGTTTCTCAACGGATCTATGCTCGTCGCATTCATTGCAATCGAAAGTATCTGCAAGATGTTTTCTTTTAAATGAAGACGTTCTGATAGAAAGGTACATACATGTCGCGGTGAATTGATGCATGCAAGCTGAAAACCAAATTGCACTGAACTTCCAAATACCAATGCAATCACTGCAAGAAGCAAAGGTTTCGTTAGTCCATCCTGAAAATGTGCATATATCGGTATTATTACTCACTAGCATGCCTGAATGATTATGCAGCTGTTCAAAGGAATACTGAGAACAACTAGACGTCATCATGCCGATAGTTGGCAACTATGAAGCGGATAAATTTTAGATATCTTTCACTCCATTCTGGCATGATCGTATGGATTCTCTCGTATAAGCTTCAATGCGAAGTTGTTAACCTCAACTGAGTTTGTTGGTGAACTTCTACTGTTACTGGATGAACGACTTCCAGTCCGAATCGGTGATATGCCGCCTTTTGCCGCATCCTGTAAAACTATCTTCTTCATTAACCAAGCTTGATTTCATCTTGATTCGGAGCAATTATGTGAAGTTCATCTTCGATAATTTTTCATTTGAAGACCACGAATTACCGAGAGATTATTAAGTCTCATATTGAATTTTTGTTTATGTTACAATGCTTCAAATTGGAGTAATCTTAAACGATAGCACAAATGTAGGCGACCACAATTAGAATTGTTGGTTGCAGCGAGATGTGGTTGATTATATGTTGATGTTTCATCACTTCCTCATTGTTATGGCCATCATTATTATTGGTAGCATTGTTGTCACTGCTGTTGTTATTGCTGTTATCGTTTACAGTCTGACAGGCGTTATTTTTAACGGCATTATGCATGTCATTTGATTGATCCATAGCGGTGAAGGGATGCACTTTTGAATGTCGAACTGAAATTGTAGTTTAGTTGTGACTAGTAACGGATTTTGAATTGTCAACAATCATGAATCAGTTTGGTACGAACTAGTAAATATTCGTACACAATACCGACTACGTGAGATAACAGATATAGTCAAAATATGCTCAAAAAAGTCTCATTTAAAATTTTTGAGATGCAATGAAAAATAGAGAAATTGAAACCCATGAGAAGCTTGTAGTCAACCTGATACTTGTGAAGAGGGAATTAAAAGGGAATTGTTGTGCGATATTGAAATTGAAGAAAGAATGAATCGAGTAGCTCGAAGGGAGACAGAAAAACACGGTCAGGAAAGGTTTTTCCTGAAAGTGACAAGTCAGTTTTGTGAAAGTCATAGTTAAAAAGGAACTGAATTGATCATTTGAAGGAGTTGATCAAAGTGCGTTCATTTTCAAAACTGATCAGCTTCAAAACCATTTTCAAAACTGATAAACTGATATTGTAGGTGTCTCGTAGGTGTTCGATGCGATTTCTCTTTAGCGACGAAGATGGAGCGTGGATAGCGAATGTACATTTTACTCACATAATCGACAGTAATATTCATAACAATGTTCTTATTGTTAGCAGCAATGAATTTGGTTAATATATGATTGAAGTATGATGTGATTTAGATGATGTGATATAGACATTGCTAAGATGTAAATTTTGAAATATGTGATAAGAAATNAACATGTAAAGTAAGGACAAAAAACCACTTGATCAAACGCATAGGTAGGGGAATCGAGCGATATGGAAGGATATCGCAATGAGTATGCAGACGAACACACGATTGTGTTATTTTTGATAAATGAATGAAGTGAATCGAGTGAATAAATGTGATATCAGCCACAATTCCACTGTGCACCAATCAACAATAAGTAGACTTGCACTGATTACTGGTTCTTTAAAGGGAACGGTGCTAATGGTCTCAAACTAAACACTTGTTTATGACGACCAAAGTTGTGATTTAACGCTCGATTCATTATTTTCATTTTTGGGATGAAAATGTTGTAAACAGTAACAATGACACTGTTGAATGACGCCACTGAAAATGTTGACAACTTCTATGGAACTTTCAAAACATTTCTCATGCATCATCCCGGTTGATTATTTATCACGGTGAACATAAGAAGAAACATAAAGGGAACGATTTGGTGTCATAGGTTTTTTATGCTCTGTTTTCGATGCTCCTCTGATGTTTTTCAATCACATAAAGTTTCGACAAACAACTGCTGAGTATTGTCAGTTGCTTTATTGTTTTTTGGATCAAATATCGTGCCACAAAAATATATCAAAACGCAGTTGTTTATCATCCAACCTGTTCATAACATTTCACATTGTTCCAGAGATCACTCACTCGATCAATCTAATCGCAGACATATGGGGAGATTCATACGAATCTAATCTATTTTCCGTGAATATCAACCAAATCAAATTCACGTCAGTTTAATTTTCGAGTAACACTTCACTGTGCGAGTGCCACAAAAATGGCACCGACTACTCAAACGGACACTAGAATATCCCACAACCAGGATAGATCCTATTCCTACAGCAGTTATCCATGTGAGATATCTAACATCAGTTAAAGCAAAAATGTCTTTTCACAAAGTGTTGCGAAATACTCGAACTTCTGACGCATGCTATCACGAGAAGATGATCGCAATAATGCGACTTAATCGACTAAAGTTCGTGATTAATGTTGAATCAGTATATTGCATCGGATATCTTCTCGCTAACTGCATCTCCACGATCAATTTATCCGNCATCGATTTTTCTCTATTTCAATTCATTGGATGAAAATGCTCATGATAATGCAGATAACTTCGAAACACTTTATTAAACAGACATAAGAAGGTTCTAAATGCATGATGGACGCGTTCTATCCAGATCTTTTTGTACATCTTCAACACTTTTGCCTTTTGTTTCGGGAACGTAGATTACGGTTATGATCGTACATATCAGTAATGCTACTGTAAACACCAAGAACGTGTAGGTGGTTAAATATTCCTGCAACTTTCATCAAATCAGCTTTAACTTCATGCCGTCGCAAAATGAACCGATATAGAATGAAATAACCTGAAGTGGTGGAAATAAGAGTCCAACGACAAAATTCATTAGCCAGTTGACAGCACACGCAATCGATGTGGCACTTGCTCTTGCGTTTGACGCAAACAGTTCGCTCACATAAAACCATGGAATTGATCCTGAAATGTTTCCGGTGTCTGATTTGTTGAATTCATTCGTTGTTTTAACCGACTAGCAATCAGGCAACTATTCATTTGCATTATCCTTCTGTGTGATGATTTACTGGCTTTACGTCACGTCACATACCTGGTCCAGTGGCGAAGGCGATCACAAAGAGCAGCATGAAAAGGATAGCTGCAACACGAGCTTCGCTCACATAACTTCTTTTATTCTGCAAAATGCATGTTTATTACAGACTGAAATAGATTTTAAGCAAGTATCAGATCACTTCTACACAGAGGATTATTGTACTGAGGACTAACAATGAGAACCAGTGCGATGACAACGCCAATGGACATTATGAACATCCCAATCATACCAGTCAACAGCAAGAAACGACGACCGAACAGAGGATGATCAACCTCGAATAAACAACCGTTAACTTTTCATACATTCACCAGTAAGATTCGAATGAACATCAACTTATCAATCTTCACAATTTCATCAATTTTTTGGCAAATGCTTCAATTTTGAAAGCAGCTCGTTTTCAGAAAACGAGACAATAAACGAGACAACTGACCAGCCATGTGGATGCCAACGTCGTAAGCACGTTAACTAACATCATGGCACAAGTGGCCCAAATGATTTGATTTCCGACGAGTCCGGCTGATTTGAATATGTCATTTGAGTAATACATCGCCGCATTGATACCACTCATTTGTTGCATAAACATCAGAAATATCGCTATCAATATGGCCCATCGCAGTTCACAAGAGAATAACGCCCGGAACGTTATTTGTGGTTCATTCTGGAAACATTCAGAGTGATTGCTTGATCAGCTTTAATCTCGAAACGAATCCAGAGTAATTCAAT